TGTTAAATTTCACAGAAGGGCAAGACAAAGGAAGTTAAACTTTGAAGCTTTTTCTTCAAAATTAACGCATTTCTTTCGTTTTTTTCAGTTTTAAGTATTTTTTATGTTTAATTACATTTATATCAAAAATTGCTAGGAACTAAAGCGATTAAAGTAGATCTTTGTCCTTTACTTCCATAAACGTTATATGTCAGTGGAACAAATGGAGTGAGCTTTGAGCGTTCCACGATTTTTGGAGACTGTCTATACGCGGGCTTCCTAAACAAGCCTATATGTATGTTTGTCCAAGAAATTTTTGGATAAAATACAAACTGCACAACTTCAAAATCGCATAAAAATAACCCGCATAAAAAGAGACCTTACAGTATTTATTTACCAATACACAAACACAATCACTACAGCAAGCTTGCAATTGCTTCTCTTAGAAACTTCATTGCAGGTACTGTAAATGCTCTGATATCCAAAGTTGCAAAATGTTGCCAAATTTTTTATTTCACTGATTTATTTAAAAATTGTCAGATGCAAAAATCAGATTGGACCAATTTTGGCACTTTTACTTACACTTATTTTAATTTTTTTTACTTAGTAAGTTTATCTACAACCTATGATATTTCTGTATAAATAATTATATTTTAGCTCATTTGTGGCACAGTGTGGCAACGGGCCAGATGAACTGACCTCGTGGGCCGTAGTTTGGTGACCCCTGCCCTAAATGCAACACCTTCTGTGGCCAGTAAACTATTCTGGTGGCTACAGGAAGTTTCCTCTTATAAACTTGTTTAGATTAACTTAGTTGATGGAAATTTGGTGGTAAACTCATATATATGTCTATTGCTGTTAATTAAATTTAAATGTGTGCTAACAATTTGCTTCTTGTTACATTACATCTTTGTTTTCTTTAGAGAGAGTGTCTATTATCCGATCAAGCTAATTTGGCAAAGAATTTCAATGATTGTTCTTATATGAGACATCACTTAAAATGTAAGTATTATTAAAAATAAGAATTTTACTGATATCACTCATAGATGTTGACAGTTTTATAAAATAGATTCATAGTATATGTTCTTATAATCTCTAGAAGAATTAGAAAATAATAAGTTAGAATAATTAGATTTAACTATTGTGAGAATCGAGGTTTAAGCATCAAAGCTTAAACCGTTTTCCGACAACAGGACAGTGAGTCCCACTCACAGGATCAGTGGATGGCAATTTAGGAGGACGAAAATTGAGTGGGAGGTTGCGGATAAGTCGATATGGTGTTGGCTGAATACGAGTAAACACACATGTTTAAGATATTATATAAATTTAATTAATTAATAAATGCAATACAAAAAGGTTATAAGTAACAAGATTAATAATAATGATAATTTCAAACCAAAATTCCAATAGGTAGTTAGCTGTATTGCATCTCGCGTATTTCCAACAGAGGAGAGTCTCTGATCCTCATTAATATTTGTTTCTTAATTAGCCCTAGTCCACCTGAGAGAAAAGGGAGAGTTCTACTTACAAAGTTGTAGATAGTAGAATCTTGCTTAGTTGTCTGTTTTTGGAAGTCAGTGTTTAAAGGCTGTTGGTCTGTCGTTTTCTGATGTCTTGAAGGCCACCCCAATGACTGGCCAGGAGCCCTCTTTATACCAAATTTGAGGGGGTGAGAACTATGATATTATTAATGATTTATATGCACACCTGTTAGTGTGTTGATGTTTGGATCTAGCTAGTACGGACAACTGACACAGAGAAGTTTAATTTATTGATATTGGTGTCTAGAAGATATGATTTTATAATATAAATTTCTATAGGTTTGATGGCTCTCATCCATAAATTAACATTCATCTGACAATAATTTCTGTAAACTGATCAACAATCTAGATATTGTTTATATCAAATATCGTGTTTGACTACGAACGAGGCGATTTATTGCTGTAACTACATGTCACATGCAACCAGAGAGGGGATAAGAAATATCTCTTATTCCCGACTTGTTGATATTAATGTCGTAGAATTACCTTTAAACAAATGGAGTAGTTTTTTTTTTTTTTTTTTTTTTTTTTGCAAATCTACACGTTTGGAGACCTCCGGAACCCCCTCAAANCAGGATACGAAATTAATCCGTTCCGAAACTGAGATCGTATCATGAAAATGTCGTAAGGTGGATCATCTTTTCCCATACGATTACATGTAAAACCAAATAATTCGTTCCAACGCGAAAAACATACTCAAATTAAAGCCAAGTAATACATTAAAAAAAAAAATAACTGTAGTAAGAAAAACAAATGAAAAATGCGAACTAATGTAACGTCGTATGGTGAGTTTTTGTTCGTATCGTGGAGCAAAAATATGTTCAAATATCATGTCGTATCCTGAAAATTTCGTATGCTGGGGCGTTCGTAACCTGAGGTACCACTGTACTATTTTGAAACAGAAAAAGGGTTTCAGACCTTCACACTATGATGATAAAAATAAAAACTATGATAATAAAATATATTAGTTAACCCATTTTTTCAATAAATAACTTAACTAGTTTTATTGGTTTTTTTGTAAAATAAAAACTTGATTGACCTTATGAATGGTGAAGTTTGTGTCCGGTATTCCAGTAAATAAATAACTTTTATAATGGTTTTCAGATTAAAATTATACTTATCCTTTTGCAATGAAGCTTAAGTTGGCTTAACAATGAATACATTTAACAACATTTAAAAGTTAAATCGTTTAACATTAAAACAAATCCTCCTTGAATGAATGAACAAGTACTGCCAGTCCGACAGGATTGACAGTACTTGTTCATTGAACTCTTACTGCTGGTAAAAAGATTTGATTTTTATTGTTACATGTTTAGTTTTTATAAAGCGAAAAAGCAACATTGCTTGTAATTATTGCAAAGATAAGATTTCAACATGATAAAAGCATTAAAACTATTTTTTCATTAAAATAATACCTTGTAATTGTATTTTTAATAAATAATGAATTTTGTATATATCCAGAATCTGTTTACAAACTTCTTTTGCTTTCAAAGTGAATAATTTAAATTTTTGTCTGGAATAGTCAAGTATTTAATTTGTAATAATACAATGCATTTATTATATTTATCAACACAGAAGCTGTTCCATAATCCAATTCTTTAGTGTGATGTAATAATAATTGTTCTTTACTCTGATACTAAAATTCATTTTGAGGTTAGATTTTATTTAAAGATAAGTTAGATAAATTTTTGACTATGATATTGATATATTATTAAAAATTATAAGCATCAAATAGAATGTAAAAGTTATTTATTCATGTTAATCATTACTACATATATATATATATATTATCTAATTTAATATTGGAAACCCCAAAAAATATATTTTTTCAAAGAGAAAAATCCTTTGCAAACTGGACTGTTCTGTAACACAAGAAAACACTACAGAAAACTTAAGTCTTTCCAGTAACAAAACATTTTTACCTCCTCCTAGATCTGCATCAGGTTTAAAGATATAAGTTCTATAATGGAATGGAACATAAGAATTAAAATGCAGGAACATAAGAATTAATTTAAAAACATAATTAACAGATTAAACTAACTTTTGAAAGTCATGACAGTGTTAAGATTTAATAGTATCTGGCTACATTGTTATTTATTTATAATTAAACTTGAAAAAGGAAGTTTTGATAATTGCAAACAGTAAATACTTACAAATTGCCACTTTTTACTTGCCATATGTTGGAGTATATTTTGGCATTTCTGTAAACCCATTTCTTAAAAAAAACATTATTTGCTCTATTTTCTTTGCAAATTTCCAGTCTGTTGTCGACTATGATTTGCCAATTTGGGCCGTGGCGGCCTCCACCTTTTTAAATAAAATTTCCAAAGAACTCGATAAAATATAACTGCTTTTAAATATATTTTGTAACCTCCCCTACACTCAATCTGTGAATGTTGCTGGGTCTAGACTGGGCCTTCCTGCATTTAAAGAAAGAATTAAATATTTCAACTGGCTTTTATACTTCAAATATTTTAATGGTTTAATACAGTCTGGTTGGCTCCACTTATGAATATCCCAAAGAAATTTATGATATTCTTCATATATTTATATGCCATTTTATAGATTAGCAATCTCTCAGCTTTATTTTTATTGTATTTCACAAAGTATGTTTAATTTTGATTCTTTTTTTACATGTTACCTTCTCTCAGTTTAAAAATATTTATACCATGTTTAGCTTTTTTTTATTTTTTTTTTGCTTGCTTGTTATCTTGGGGGCAGTAAACTTTATGTGACTTTTTCTATATATCAATGATAAATAAATATGATAAATTATTAAGTTAAAAAAAGAATTGAAGAAAACCAAAATTAGATAATACTGTTCTAAATTATGTAAATTGATAGCTAATTGTTTTTAAAGATTCAAATAATTGCTTAATCATGTTTTATATTTAAAAAATTGAACATTATATTTACTTTGAAAGCATAAGAAAAAAATTGCTGTCTAGGAATCTTATATTTTAATTTATCTAGTACTTTCAAAAAGCAGATGTCATCTTCAGAAGTTAGTATGTAGTCATAGTGACTAAACTGTGGCCTTCAAGCCACATGCAGCACTTTTAGCCCTGTATTTCTGCTCCTGTATATTATCTTTTATTACTTAGCTGTAGGTCCAAGTTTTGTGCGATTTTTCTGTATATAGGTTATGTATAAAATACTTTTTCAATATAAGATTAGGCTCTTGCATATTTCTGATACATATGATGTTGCTCCTATTGTGATAAGGTTTGGCCATCCCTGGTATATATAATCTAGATTGGGTAATTTTTGAGATTGTTCTTTTGATTTTGCTAAAAATGTTTTATGTTTATATGGTGAAGTGTCATTTGTACATTTCTCAAAAGAATGTCTCCCCCAAAAAAAGATGCATTGCGATGTGGCATAATTAATAGTTTTTGTGAGACTTATAATTACAGCTTTAAGAAATGTTTTAATATTTATCTTTTATATTTTTGTTATAAAAAATAATACTTTGTGAACTCTCTTACTGTTACAGGCTATTGTGTTTTTATCATTTCACTCTCATTAGCCAATAATTTACTGCTAATTTCTCTCTCTCTCTGGAAGATATTTACTTGGTGGAGTCTGTTTTACCCCATTTAATTCTGAGAATGTGAAGAGATAGAGCAATATGAGAATGGAAAACTTTCTCACATCGTTCTAGAAATTTGAGCATGTTTTTTAAAATAATAATGTAATATCTTAGCATCATTTGTAGATCATTTCTTTTCTAATGAAACTCTGTAAGGAATTTAGGTATATAAACAAAATATTTTGTCATTGAAAAGAATAGCCATGTTTTGCGATTGGCATAAAATGACCCATAAATGCAAAATGTATAAAGTTGCTCTGCCATATACCATTATCAGTTCGTTTCAGCTTAGCAGATACAAAAATAGCAGTTTGACTTATTTACAAACATATTAAAAGTTAGGTTATTTGTGAACCAGTTATCCAATATAAATGATTGAATTACAATAAAATAATTGCCCAAAGAATTTCTAAATTGTATATTTAAGTTAGTTTATCATTTACTATTCAGTAAAACTGCATTCATCATAAACTGCAAAAACAACCACTCATACCTTTAAATGCAGTGTGAATTTTACTTTTTCTAATGTTTTTTGGTCGTTTTAAATGCCTTTCTTCAGGATAAAAACTGATTGCTATTTAAAAATGAGAATGAAAACTATCCTCTGGAAAAATGTGCATTTCAAAATTTTTAACGCTTTAAAATCCCAACTATTTTAATTGCATTTGTCAAAGGAAGGAGGACATAGGCTGAATACTAAGTGGTTGAATATATGACACCTCTACACAATATGTACAGAAAGATAGGAGTAGCTACAGAGAAGAAAATTATCTACAAAAGAAACCCTACTATATACGGACTATCGCAGAATGAGAAATATCCCATAGATCCAATGCACATTCCAGGTATATGCAAAATACTACTCAAGGACGGTAGGATTGAGCAAGATCTGTACTACATAGGTGTTACTAGTCGGTCATTAACATCAAGGATTAAAGATCACAAGGACAACATCCAGAAGGCTAACCCTTCTACAACATTAGCGGCTTACATGAGTTTTAACCCAGAGTCCGTCTCAGTAGACTGGGGTCAGGCTAAAATAATCCAAAAAGTGCAAAGTAAAAACATAAGAAGATACAAGAAGCATAAAAAATATACAAAACATCTTTGAGAGGGCGAACAGTAAATTATAAAGATGACAATGCAATATCTAATTTGTGGAAGGCTCTAATAGAATGTGAACTAAAATGTTAAAGTATGAAAGCAGGAAATATTGTATATTTCATGCATATTATCTGCCATGATCATGTTTTTTCATCATTCTTATTGTTTATTTTTTATATATTTATATTTAAATCCAACACGTTAATTTTTTATGTTGGAATACGTCATCTTTGCTGATTTATATTTGTAATCTACATAGAAGTTTGACACGTGCAGTTAAACAGTTGGGATTCTAAAGTGTTAAAATTTCGAAATGCAAATTGTTTCAGAGGACTGCTTTTGTTCTTATTTTTAAATTACAATCAGTTTTTATCCTGAAGAAGGGCATTTAAAATGACTGAAAACATTAAAAAAAGTAAAATTAGCACTGCATTTAAAGGTATGAGTGGTTGTTTTTGTAGTTTATTATTGATTAAGAACATTAAAAATTGAAAGCAATGTGTAAGCAATATCATATAAAATGTTTGGCCTTGTTTTAATGAATAAATACACTCACTGGATAATGAATAGGAAGTATGCATAATCTTAATACCAATTGTAAGAAAAATTGAAAATGAAAATTTGCTTTGTTTAATGCAAGTTTTTCAGGTAAGTCAAATTTTGTGAATAAATTTGCCAAACAAAAAAATTTCATTTGAGTGTTTTTTGTTAAATGTGAAGCTCCAAAATCTGTAGTCAATTGTAACTTTGCTCATTGCGGACCTGTTTAGACCATATCTTGATTGTAAAAGGACTTCGTCATCTCTATCCTTTAGTTATAAATTTAATTGAATAAAGAGTTTAGGAATATTTTATTAAATAATTCGTATTATATTGTTGTTGTCAGAAATAATAATAATAATCAGATGAGAATTTAATTAAGTTTTTTTATTTTTCAGATATGTAACTATAAAATTTTATGATTGATTAAATAACATATTCAAACATGGCAGTGAATTTAAATAATAGATCTGGAAATAATGCGACAAAATCTTCATTATTAAAAGTAATTCTGTTAGGTGATGGCGGTGTAGGTAAGAGTTGTCTTATGAACCGTTTTGTTAATGGTCAGTTCGATGCCAATGCCTGTCACACGATCGGTGTAGAGTTCCTCAATAAGGATATAGTGGTGAAAGGAGAACGGTACACGCTTCAGATATGGGACACCGCAGGACAGGAGAGATTTCGCAGCCTACGGACACCCTTCTACAGGGGATCGGACATCTGCATGTTAACTTACGGGGTGGACGACCGAAAGAGTTTTCAGAATCTCAACATGTGGAAGAAGGAATTTTTACAGTATGCCGACATTCGTGACTACGAAAATTTCCCATTCATAATAATTGGAAACAAAGTCGATATGGAAACCAAAGAAGTTTCGACGGACGAAGTGAAACAATGGTGTCAGCAGAACAAAAACTGTCCGTACGTCGAGACGAGCGCCAAAGATGCAACGAACGTGGAGCAGGCATTTCACATGGCCGTGGAGAACTGGCTGCAGATGGAACAGCGAATGGAGGAATTATATATGGACGAAACCGTGGACTTGAGTAAACATTCCCAGAAGCGAGCATGTTGTAGTTTGTTATAACTTTATTATTTACGAGGCAAATTAATTCATTAATTGGCAATATTGTATATTTAAATTTTTTGTGATGTTATTTATATTATTTCAATTTATTGTTGCATGTTAAGATACTGTACAATTGTTATTTTTGAATATAAATATTTATTTGAAGAGGCAAGTAATTTAATAAATTGATAGAGTTGTGAAAAATCATTGCAATTACATTGTTGGCCAAAATATTCCAAAAAAAATCTATAGACTTGTAATTGCAGGTAAATTGTGATGCAATAACTCAATTTTAATGATACCAAATAGTAAAATAATGATAAATCAAAAATACTAAAGATTAACTTTCAATAATAATTATATAATGCAGATGATAGGATCAATCATTAACAAACTCGTTGAACTTTCTGCAACTTCATATGGGAATTTTAAATGTCTTTCAATATTATATGTATGGAAAACTCATTTGCAAGGCAAGTCGGAATTAGATCTGAATTCATAAAAATTAATTAAAAGCTGCAGAAGTAAAATGTCAAAATTCTACTTAAGTTCCAAAGCTTTAGCAAAATCTACCAACTTGGCAGCAGACAATAAAACAGCATTCCTTGTTTGTAACTTCACATTGTATAGTTATTAAAGGGGCAATCTTATTAACATTAAATTTGCTTTTCTCTTTAATTATAAAGACAGCACACTGATATTTAAATGATTCAAATTGCAGAGAAAATTGCATTTAAAGTTGGTAAGCACCTTTGGGCCACTCCGTGTTTATTTTTTAATGGATTTGTGTTTTGATCGTTTGTATTAGTATATAATTTTGAGTTCCTTCCATTGCCTATAATAATAATAATTTGGGTTATATTTTGTCACCACCACCAATGGGTAGAACATTGTTCATTGCTTGTTAAAATAGAAATTTCATTTCCACCATGTCAAGTATTTCTAGCTATTATAGAAACAAATTGAAAAATTATAGTTTAAATTAGTCTGCATAGATCTCTATAACCTTTTGGTTTACTTTTTTAAAGACAATTTTCTGGCTAAGAGGATGGTTTGATTTTAAAATTTCTACTGTTATAAAAGTTGTTTGTTTGTCAATGTGAAAGGTATTTAGCTAGCATGAATATATATATATATATATATTTGGATGGTGGCATAAATTTGAGTCAGATTAGATCTTGTTTACATAATCAGCCATATACTTCTGATGAACTGAATTAATATGCAAATACCAGATACTAAGTTCAAAATATGCTAATATCAACAACTGAATATAGATATTTAAGAAATTTTATTAGATTTCTGTCTAAAATGTTATACAGTATTTATTCTTTCTGCAACCAAATTTGAAGCATAGCATTCTAAATATTTTAAAGCTTGTTTATGTTATACAGGCAAATCTCGACATTGTGTTTTCTTAAATACTGTAATGCCATTGTTCAAAAGCTCTGGCAAATAATTTTATTTACTGGAGCTTTTGAACAAATCCTTCACATAAATCTTAGATAACTTTCTGGTATATGTATGATTACTAAATGTATGAGTTTGTTGCAAACATTATCGCCAAATCATGTGACTTACAAGCTCAAACTTTTATACAGATCTCATCATATAATTGTTTTTGTAAGGTACTTCAATTTAGCACCCTGCTTAGTACCAAGTTCAGAGGTGAAATAAATGGTGATTCTAAATCAAAGCTTTACTGTCTTAAATGTTCTTCAGTATTAGTTTTATGATGTTTGCAGCAAATTTTTCAGTTAATAACTTGTAAAATAAGCAGCGTGTAAAATTTTAAGAATATTTTGCAATATGTTTAATTGTGTATAGGATTTAATACAATAATAAACTTCCTATGTCAACATAAAATTTTTGCCAAAGGTGACTTTGTATCTTCACATTTAACTAGTGAATAGTGAGCATTGGCAAGCATTTTGCATAAGCTAGAGATAATTTCACACTAAACTTTAATAATTCGATGACTTCTGTCGGGCTCCCGCTTTCAATTCTGTAATCGTCTCTGTAAAGTTCTGGTTGGAGTTAATGTAATGTTTTGTTTTAATAACTCCTCGTATCCACTAGGAAATCTTAATTTCAAAGCTTTTTATCAGACCATTTCATAAATTTGGTTTTTATTTTAATGGCAGATATTTGGTCGTTATTAAAAGCTAATGATATGATCCGTTCATTATCTACCTTTTCTAATTCTGTGTTTCAATGTTCAGATAGTGTTCAGATGTTTAACATTTTTTCACATAATCCAATATATAGTTTTTTAAATTCTGTTAGGATATAAATATATCCTTTGTGCATTCTTTAGATAATGTATCATGATTTACAGAAATTACTTCGGTTAATGCGGTTTCTTCTATATATGTTTCAAAATTTGTTGATGGTGTGACAGTAGTATGAGTAGTGTGTACTGGAGAAGTAACTTTTGCAGTTTTTACTTGTTTTATAAGAGTTGAGGACATACCTTTTGGCAGTTTTCTGTGAATGAAAACAGAGTTGGAAAGGCATAATGCTTTAATTTCTTCTTCTTTCCACGAGCTCTCAGCTTTTCCCACATTTGTGGTTCGAAATGAACTTGTCTCACAAAACAAGAATTACTTGTAGGTTTCCAATTTTTCTCGGCGCAGTTATTTAGCCCAAATTTTTCTCCCTCGGGAAACGTTTCACCATATATCCTATGACAGAAGAATTAGAACAACCAGAAGCTGAACATCCAGGCATTATCTGTTCTCAGATGTGTTCAAAAACTTCCAGATTTCTTTATAAACGACTTTAAAGAACACCTAACGATTCAAAATATACAGAGCCACGCGCCATGTTGTCAGAACCGACTATTAATACTGTCTACTTAGCTTCTTGCTAAGCTTGATATAATAAACACTAAAGCTATACTAAAATATTGGAAATTAATTAATTAGACTATTTTCTTAAAAGTGAGGTGGTTGTGTATAGTATATAATAAAGTACACAATTGCTGAGCTTTTGCTACAAAACTAAAGATATTATATGTTCAATCAATCATTGCAATGTCTAACACAAGCTAATGTGATCATTTATCAAAATTTCAAATTAGCATTACCATTTACAGCATTATTAGAGTTCCATGTTGAATACTATAACTGTGTATTTAAAAATTACTCAACTGTAAATCCAATTCAAACCATTTTTTGGAAAACTAGTGCTTTTGGACTGTATATGCATTATCACAAATTGAGAATAAAAGACAATAAATCTATCTATTTTTTATACCCATGCCCTTGATTTTGATATCTATAAATTCAGATCTAGCTTTGACTTGCCTCGCATACTATTAGCTTTAATAAAATTAGTTCTTTCGAGTCTCGAGAATACATAAACTACATAATTTATGAAAGTTGGATGTTGCCATATGATACGAGACATCATCTCCTAATTTTGCATATAAATATACGGAGTAGCTCGGTTTCCTAATTATGTAGTATTATCGAGATGACTCGTTTCGAAAATGTGGGTGCTTATTGTCGGACTTAAAACTCAGGGCTTGCTACTGTATCAGTATTGATGTCGTTCAGCTAATAATTCTCTTTAATAAAGATAAAACTAGTCATATTTGTTTAACTTATTGCCAAAATAATGTTTTCCTCCCCAAATCTCAAATAAGAAAATCAAAATCCGATATTTGTTAACTAATTTTGCTTAATCAACGAAAGTGTTTTTATATTTATAAATGAACAAAAATTAGTTGAACGGAATTTGCATATTAACGTAGCAGGCATTTTTGATATCAATATATGCAAATTTGCTTACGAAGATTAAAATCGTTTCTAACCTCCCAGGCAATTTGATAAAGTCGGCATTACAAACTTCAACTTAAGAGATCGAACTGGCATCTGTTGTGTAAACTAATCCTATATCTTTATATAGGTAATTTTTTGTGAAATACTATAAAGCATTAGTTTGTATAAATTATTTATTGGTTGTAAACATGTTGTGATATACAATGGAATCTTGATTTAATGTTCTACAAGGGACCATTCCTTTTGCTCTTTACACAACAAGATTAACAAACTTTTTGTTAGTTTGCTTCGTGCCGAACATAAAATGGTACCGCATGACAATCGTGCAGAGAATCCCATTCTATGTTGATAATGCAACTTTTCAACTTGCCTCATGCTGCAAATTTATTTTGAAAAAAGACAAGTAATTTAAATTAGGATTCCAATGTATACCAAAAGCTCAATTGTTAAATATGCACAAACTGCTAAATATGTAAACACATGCAATTTTTTGTCATCGGTTGTATCGCTTAGATTGGCAGAATAGGAATTTGCTCTAAGTTTGAATTTTCATCACTTTGGCACAAGGGAACACTCGTGTATAAAACATTCCATTTACGTTAAATGCTTTTGACCAAAACTTTATATTATTAGTTGTAGAAAAAGCTTTCTTTACTTTTTTTGATAGACAAAAATGTATTCAATTCCATCTTAAAAAATTAGCATCAGAAATAGAGCCAATTATTTTGAAAAGACTTGAAAAAGTGGAATTGTCTCGTCATTAAATAAAATTGTCTTATCAAAATCTTGAGTTTATTAAATTAACCGATTCTTTAATTGCATATTAAATGTCTGACAAAGGTTTTTATTAAATTATGCACTTTATACAATCATCCTTTTTATCTGGTTATGTAATTTGGAAATAATTTTATGTATAGTAAAATTAGGTTATAATAAATTTGTTTCATTTATTATGGATGTATGTTTCTATTTGTTGTTTAGATATTTGCACAAACAATTTATCGTTTTTTAAAATATATAAAACTTTATCTTGCCAAGATTCTACATAATGTGCAGCATCGTCTGATGTGGGCATTAGATCATAGGAGCATAGGATCATAGGCACAGCAGTTCTATAGTTCTTAAGAACCAACACAATGCAAATCTTTCTACTGCGCAACAATAATTTGAAATCGTGCAGTATATTTTTGTCATAAATAAATTTTCTAAAGAAAACTTTATGAAAGTTGGTGGTTTTTCACCTCCTTCCAAAGTGAAATAAATCTAAGCCAGCTGTTTTGGATACATCTGATTTTTGGGGATTTTGTAATAACTGGAGTGTTATGAAAGACAGGTTGAAAATTACTGATCAGAGATGTAGCCACATATAGGCAAGGGGAGCATTTTCCATATTAATGCTCTTCTGCTCTCAAGTTTAAAAGTAGACAGCAGTAAGTCATAAGTAGGTGAACACTAGATAAAGCAGAAAACAGGCACATCAGACACAAATAACTAACTAGGCTACACGGACAGTCACGAGATGAATAATGAAAATTTAATACTTGTTCTTGTTCGGTCTTTTCTTTTTTATTAAATATTGTGATGTGTGCCACAGGTTTACAATATGCAAGGAGCTGCCATACCAATATAGCAGTTCTTTTCACAATAATGTATAGCTAGTGATCTTGGACTATTGCATTTTTATGATAGCCTACTTATGCTGTCTGCACAAGTTGTCGGCGATGCAGATGACCACTCAAATTTATGGTTACATCTTTGCTGATATAATTGGATTTGATCCCGTAATCCAAATAATTTATTTTTCATACAGGAATAGAAGTCCTGGATGGATCTTACACTTTCTGACTAACAGCAGTGTGTTTTAGATGTTTGAGTAAACTTGTATTTTTAATTAATATGACAGTTTATTTCAAGTTAAGAAGGAAGATAAACCTATTATGTAGTGTTATGTACAGTACATGGGGGACCCAAAAATAACCAGATTTTTTGTATAAAAACTAAGGATGCACCGATAAGCAAAACATCCGATTAATCGGTCACGCATTATCGGCTGATTAGTGTCAATAATTTATGATTGTTATTGTATGAAATTTTATATCTATATATAAAGGAAGATAAACCTATTATGTAGTGTTATGTACAGTACATGGGGGACCCAAAAATAACCAGATTTTTTGTATAAAAACTAAGGATGCACCGATAAGCAAAACATCCGATTAATCGGTCACGCATTATCGGCTGATTAGTGTCAATAATTTATGATTGTTATTGTATGAAATTTTATATCTATATATATATATATATATAAAAATGGGCGTGTATGTCCCTATATTTCACTTTTCCGCCAAAACTACACATCGCACGTGAATGGTGTTTGTATGTGGTAGGAGCTCCAAGTCTCCATTCGTGCACTATGGGGGTTGTGTCTCGATAGCTATAAGGGTGCGGGAGATATGGGGCTGAAAGTGGTTTTCTATTTCGAATGTTATGTTCGAATTTGTTCGAATTTAATTCGAACAGTTTTCGAATTTAATTTGAACAACATTCGAATATTGGTTTGATTATAGAACGATTGTAAATGTTCCAGAAATGTTGAAAATAGTTTGTTTGACTGGACGTGAACAGGAGATGTTCAGAAATAGAATCGGGATCAGGTCTCTAATTAGTCTGGAAACGGGGGACCTAATTCTTGCATTCTGTGAAAACGGGTAAGATTGGCTATAATGTAATTATCTTAATCTTCACTATCGTTACTTTTTGCCCACAAATAAAAACCCAGTGAAGCGGGTCCTTGCAGCTAGTTCTTAATAAAAATATAAAATTTCATACGATAAAAATAAATTTATAACAATTTGTTATAAAAATAATTTTCAATATGAAGTTATTTTTTTCAGATTCATGTATTAAATTAAAACGCTAAATTATTACTAAAATGATAAACTTTTTAATTTTAATTAATATCCAAACCCAAACCCCTCATGGCTTCCAGTATTGCTTGGAAATTTTTTAAGAAAGATAAAAACGAAAAGTTTTCCAAGTGCAATTTATGCCAGTCTTTTATTCCGAGAGATGGAAAAAATGCTAAAACTGTCATCACCATAAACATGATAAATCATCTGGAAAAATGTCATCATGAAATTATTTAAAAATAAATTTAAAAGATGAAAAGAGAAAGTTCCGAAACGAAAGAAGCTGGATGTTCATTAGTAACAACAAAAACTCATATCCAAATACAAGCTACTTTAACTCAATTAATGGAGAAGAAAAATTGTGGAATATCAATGATATATCAACAAAATAAAAAGATGGACAATCGATAGATCAGATTATGTTTATAATTCAAAATCTCAAGATTTAAATTCTGAAGCTTCTACTTCTGGAGATGATCAAGATGGAGGATAATCTCTGAGTTTTCTAATTTATCTGATGAATTAGCTTCTGGTAAACGAAAGAATGAATAAGAGCGTATTTTTAAAAAGGAAGAAAAAATGAAACAAACAAACGTTTCGCTCAAGAATTAGAAAAATATTTACATTTGCCTCTTATACAAAGACACAGAGACCCATTTTTGTGATGGAGAAGTTAAAAAGAATTTTTTCCTAATTTGAGCAAAATAGCTATAAAATATATGTCTCCCAGCATCTTCCATTGAAAGTGAAAGAATTTTCAGAGCTGGAGGTAACATTTAAGAGCCCTGAAAATGGCAGAATTCTCATATTTTTGTATTACNAGATTGTCATATAATAAATAATAAATATATAAGAGAAATTTATTATTTTTTATTACTAGCCTTATACGTAACATTCTAACAAAAATATTAAAATGCAAAATTGGCCGATTATTAAAACCGATTAATCGGGGAAAAAGCCTATACTGATTAATCAGGAAAATGGCCGATATGGCCGATTACTGATTACTTACCGATTAATTGGTGCATCCTTAATAAAAACTTTATTAACTTTTATACAAAATTTCTTCAGTCACCTCCAAAGTACTCTCCATTAGATGCGATGCACTTGTGAAGTCTTTTTCCCCTCTGTTTGAAGCATCTCTGGAACTGTTCAACCTTGATATCGTCCAGTGCCCTTAGCGAAGCTGTTTTTACTGCCTCCACGTCATCAAAACTCTTCCCTTTTAGATTTTTCTTCATTCTCGGAAACAGTAAAAAGTTGCACGGGGCTAGGTCTGGTGAATACGGAGGGTGGGAAACGAAAGGCCAAATAGCAAGTCACTCGTAAGGTCATGTGTGTGTGGGGGCATTGTCGTGATGAAGGAACCAGTCACCTGATCGCCAAAGTTCCGGGCATTTCCTTTGCACATCCTCTCGCAGACATCTTAACACTTTTTTGGCAGATTTTTTTCAACGTTTTCATCGTTTCAAGGTGTTGAAGGACTCCCAGAACTTCGCAGGCAGAACGAAATAACAGTAAGAGAAACACAACACTACGCTCGAACATAAACCTACAAACTGACGTCGTTTGCACAGCTGTTTCGTGAAGGTCTCTACTAACCCCGTGTAACAGGAGAACTCTCTACTATGTCTACGAATGGCAGCACACTCTCAGTTCGGTTTTTTTTTGGTCCCTCCTCGTATATATGCACATATTAATAATAAATGCAAGTTATACTTACCTGTTGCCTGATTGGTGAAGTTAGGCAGAGAGGAGACAGTTGTTGACATAAATTGTTGGTGTTATTGTGTAACCAAGTCTGCTTGCTTTGGTCTGTCTCAAATTTAGATTAAGAGGGAGCTGGCAACAGAGAGAAAACAGCCAAATCAAGAAAAAGTGGCACCACCAATAATGCCAGGGAGGAAATAACAGAATTGAGCAACGTGAACTTCACTAAATGAACTCAATCTGAAGTACAATAATTTTCAGTTTCCAAAATTTTGCCTCACAGAGCTGGCTTTTCCAGTTAGTTCAACAGAATAAGTTACAAATTTGTCAAAATTTACACAAAAATATTTTACAGAAAGATTGAGATGAACAAGATTGACAAAAATATATTTTTGTTTAATTAAACTCGGCAAATTTCTATACAGATTTTCAACTACTTTTTAGATTTATGTAATTTAAAATAGTCCTCTGTCCATTGAAATTAATACTTTTGCAAAATATGATCATTGGATTTTTATTTTATGGTTTAGCCCAAAAATCGGTTAACAGAGAAACAATTTAAGACTGGTTAAAATTGGGTACATTCTGATGTGCATTGGTTTTGGCCACAACCGATGCACCGGTGAATGGTTTAATAAGCTTTTACCGGAATGTCTGACAACCTAACTAGATGGTGGAAGAAAACGGTGCCGTAATAGGGGTTCCTACTCACCTGGAAAGTCGGGGATTTTCATTATTGTATGGAAAAAGTCATAGAACTTGTTTCCTTAGCTGCCTTATTGATTTTTTTTCTCACAGTATGGCCAAGCAAGTGTAGCTGCCTGCAGACAACAAGAGATAATGTGGTGCAAAGAAACATATGAAAAGGAGTGCAGAATATTTCCAGGATGCAAAATTTCTCCCAAGCAACACAAAATTTCCCCAAAAATTATTGTGCACAAAATAAAACTATAATTTATGAACCTTAATTTAGCAGCAAGAACTTAGGGGTAGAAGAATACAAAGATCTTAAGTGTGGGTTACAGTTAATAGGGATCTGTTGCACGTCCTCAGTTTGGTCATCTATTGCTATCTATTCTTCTATCTCCGAAGCTCTTGCTGCTGAATTAACGTTTATAAAACAGCTAGCCATTGCCCATGGATGGTTACTCTAATTTAAGAACCAGTTAATAACTACGTGAATTTTCCAAACTGTCTGAGGTTCCTAAAATCGTGTTGAAATTTTGATTAATTATAAAAATTCCTAAGATGAGAAACCAAACAAAGGAAAACTACATACTCATCTTAAAACAAACACGGTGTGGTGATGAATGATGGAGGGGAATATAGACAGG